ATGCCTGCTTAAAAAAGGAGAAAAACCTCAACTTAATGACATCAAAACGGTAAACAAAGGGTCAAAGGTCAACACAAAATAACTTGGATGATGAGTAACTTAGATTTGGGACCAACTTTGCTTTTTAAATGGGGCCAGACTGGCCCAAACTTCCCAAATGGGCCAGGAACAACAAACCAGAAAAACCAAAACTTAGCAAACAAAGCTAAATTATCCATAAAAGTACACATTAAAGTTGACTTTAGTTGATCTCAGGTGGTTAAATCTCTGTTTTCTTGGCGGGAAAAAGCCGCTTTGTGTTGTTTCTTTAGCTTGAATAGCTCAGAGGAAATGGAGGTGATCACTTCTGTAATGCCTGCTTCAAAAAGGAGAAAAAACCTCAAATTAATTACATCAAAACGGTAAACAAAGGGTCAAAGGTCAACACAAAATAACTGGGACGATAAGGAACTTAGATTCTCGACTGGACAGAAACTAAACACAAGCAAAACTGAAAGAACCCAGGCAGCTTAAATAGAACTGGACTGGCCCAAACTTCCCAAATGGGCCATGAACAACAAACCAGAAACACAGAAATTAGCAAACAAAGCTAAATTATCCAGAAAAGTACATATTAAAGTTGACTTTAGTTGGTCCCGGATATTAAATCTCTGTTTTCTTGGCGGGAAAAAGACGCTTTTTGTTGTTTCTTTAGCTTGAAGAAGTCAGAGGAAACATAGATTTGGGACCAACTCGGCTTTTTAAATGGGGCTGGATTGGCCTAAACTTCCCAAATGGGCCATGAACAACAAATCAAAAACACAGAAATTAGCAAACAAAGCTAAATTATCCAAAAAAGAACAAATTAAAGTTGATTCCAGAGATCTCAGGAGGTTAAACCTGTTGGGAAAAAGCCGCTTTGTCTTGTTTCTTTATCTTGAATAACTCAGAGGAAACGGATGTGATCCCTTCTGTGATGCCTTCAGGGGCTGTAGGACACATTTCGGGCTCGTTAGCTTAGCTTAGCTTAGCGCTCCGGTTTAGCTGCCAGGTTCCATTTGGATCTCGTTTAAAAACCGGAGCCACTGTTTGTCCGCCTTAATGGAGGCGTCTCAGGGCTCTGATGCCCCCCCCAACACACACACACACACACACACACACACACACACACACACACACACACACACATACAGACG